AACAAGTATATGCCATAATATTGCTATTAAACAAGTATATGTCATAATACTGCTATTAAACAATTATATGTCATAATACTACTATTAAACAAGTATATGTCGTATTACAGCTATTAAACAAGTATATGTCGTATTACAGCTATTAAACAAGTATATGCCATAATATTGCTATTAAACAAGTATATGTCGTAATACTGCTATTAAACAAGTATATGTCGTAATACAGCTATTAAACAAGTATATGACATAATATTGCTATTAAACAAGTATATATCGTAATACTGCTATTAAACAAGTATATGTCATAATACTGCTATTAAACAAGTATATGTCGTAATACTGCTATTAAACAAGTATATGCCATAATATTGCTATTAAACAAGTATATGCCATAATATTGCTATTAAACAATTATATGTCGTAATACTGCTATTAAACAAGTATATGTCATAATACTGCTATTAAACAAGTATATGTCGTAATACTGCTATTAAACAAGTATATGCCATAATATTGCTATTAAACAAGTATATGCCATAATATTGCTATTAAACAATTATATGTCATAATACTGCTATTAAACAAGTATATGTCATAATATTGTTATTAATCAAGTATATGTCATAATACTGCTATTAAACAATTATATGTCGTAATACTGCTATTAAACAAGTATATATCGTAATACTGCTATTAAACAAGTATATGTTATAATACTGCTATTAAACAAGTATATGTCATAATACTGCTATTAAACAAGTATATGTCATAATACTGCTATTAAACAAGTATATGTCGTAATACTGCTATTAAACAATTATATGTCGTAATACTGCTATTAAACAAGTATATGCCATAATATTGCTATTAAACAATTATATGTCATAATACTGCTATTAAACAAGTATATGCCATAATACTTCTATTAAACAAGTATATGTTATAATACTGCTATTAAACAAGTATATGTTATAATACTGCTATTAAACAAGTATATGCCATAATATTGCTATTAAACAATTATATGTCGTAATACTGCGATTAAACAAGTATATATCGTAATACTGCTATTAAACAAGTATATGTCATAATACTACTATTAAACAAGTGTATGTCGTAATACTGCTATTAAACAAGTATATGCCATAATATTGCTATTAAAT